CACTGCAAAAAGGAAGCAAAGCTGCAGTATTAGACCAGTGAACTCAGGAAATTGAAGCGCGATGAATAATTTATCTGGTACACGATTGCCGACAGCGATCCTGCAATGGTACCATTTACATGGTACCATCCGTCCATGTGGGCAGTAAAGCACCAGCCGGTCGTAAACACGACCACCACCGTGCTTTTTCACATGCAAATCCACTTTCGAGGTTTCGTCATTGTTTTATCGTCAAGGTTCCCAAATAATTGACCGGAGTCATGCACGCGCGCCGATAATTTCCAAGGGAATTTTTGCATTCGGCTCTCGGTTGCATTCTGATTCGGACTTTGAGATTATTCGGGTTTTTATTCGCTGCCAGCGTGACTATCAAACGCCCGTGACAAATCGCTTTGGTCACAGCGGTGTTTTATCTACCATTTCCTGCAATGCTGGCAGGATTCTGGTTGGACAATCACAACAGCGTTTCGTTTTACTTCGTTAATGTGCATAATTGGGAAACTGGCCTGTGGAATTTTCATTTTTCTGTTCGAATTTTCATCAGAGTTTCACTGAATCGAAGCAATTGGTGTGCGACAGCACGGATTTTTCAAAAATTCGCCAAGGAAAAACCAAATGTTCCTGAATGCGGCCCAAAACATCATTCAAAAGAGGAAATCGGCTGCTTTAAATTAGGAAAAACTCACTTGATTACGGAGTTTGTGAGACTTTCCAGGATATTTTCAGTTACTAAGAGGAAGCGTGGCCGTTGGTGCAGATAGACGGGTTTAAAAAAATTGTCCAGGCAAAAGAAAAATTTCTCAAGCCTGAATAGAATATCACTCGAAAGAGAAAATCTGCGGCTTTAAATGAGGAAACCTCACTTTAATAGGAAATTTCTGGGAGTTTTCAGGGTTTTTTTTGCGACACTGAATCCACGCAATTGGTAGTTGGACAACACGAATTTTTCAAAAATTTGTCAGGAAAAATCCAAAAATTTCTGGATGCGTCCCATAACATCACGCGAAAGAGAAACTCGGCTGCTTTAAATGAGGAAAAACTCACTTGATTAGGAAATTTCTGGGAGGTTCCAGGATGTTTTCAGTTACTAACTTGAAGCGATTGGTGGTTGGTATGGATAGATGGGTTTAAAAAAATTTGTTCAGGAAAAACCAAAAATTTCTCAAGCCTACATAGAATATCCCTCGAAAGAGAAAACCTGCGGCTTTAAATGAGGAAAAACACACGTGAACAGGAAATTTCTGGGAGTTTTTAGGATGAATTTTTCTGACCATAAATCGAAGCGATTGGTAGTTGGACAAGACGGAATTTTCAAAAATTCGCCAAGGAAAAACTATAAATTCCTGAATGCGGCCCATAACATCACTTGAAAAAGAAACTCGACTACTTTAAGTGAGGAATCACTCACTTGATTAGGAAATTTATTGGAGTTTCCCGGATGTTTTCAGTTACTAAGGGGTAGCGATTGGCTGTTGGTATAGAGAGACGGATTTAAAAAAAAATGACACGGAAAACCCAAAAATGTTTCAAGCCTGTATAGAATATCACTCGAAAGAGAAAATCTGCGGCTCTAAATGAGGAAAACCTCACTTTAATAGGAAATTTCTGGGAGTTTTCAGTGTTTTTTTGCGACACTGAATCCACGCAATTGGTCGTTGGACAACACGAATTTTTCAAAAATTTGTCAGGA